GGAAAGATTCAACTACCCCTATAATATATTAAGCAGATAAGTTTTGCACTAACTATATGACAAGCTTCAACTTGTGTTCTGCAGTCTTTCTTAACTTAAAATTGCAGGATTATGGCTTCATTGATCTAGTTAGGTCGTTTTTTGTGCTTCGGTGATGCTTTCCATAAATGGTACAAAATAAGAAAAGTTCAGTTCTCAAGTGTTGTTTGGTGATACTGCCCTTCAGACCTGTCATGATCACACAAATTATGTTTTTTGGTTTGTTTTTTTTTGACTCAGCTGACTGGTTCCTCTTAAAACCTAAAAACTGGGGAAGAGCCTGAATTGCACGTGTGCAGGCTATTCACACATGCTGCTGGAGGAAAAGTTAGGTTATTTGGAAAGCTGCCCAACAGGGAAGTCCTAGTAAAATAATGTGAGTGTACAATACTAGAAAATATTTTTTTCAGAACTGGAAAGAGTTATTAATTAGGTTAATTTTTCTTAATACTGTAAGACATGACCAGCCAAGGTTTAAATGATTTTATTTTGTGATCACCATTGCCAAATAGAGGGAACTTTTGCCCTATATCCCCAGAGATGCAACAAAAGACTTCTCCCATTCTTTGTGTGCCTGTAAGAAGTTGGACATCATTTTTAGCAGTACTTTTTGTTTAACCCAAGCCAGATTAAAACTAATAATTAGAGGTAGTTCAGTCACTTGCAGCTGTGTGAGACTTTAATCAAAATGGCACTAATAAACTGCACAAAATGCATAAGCTTGTGAAATGTTAATAAAGTCTGCACCTAGGAATACGAGGGAGAGGTTGCCTGCTGTTCTGGAGCAGCTCTCATTTGGAATTAGGCAGCAGCCTCTCTTGTCCCAGGCTTGTACTCTTACTTGAAAGATCTTCTCTTCCTCAGTGTATACGCTCACACATTTCTCTCTGGGGGGAGGAGGAAACTCATTCCACTTAAGACTGACCACAATCAAACCCCTAAACATTCCTAAGTCATAAATGGAGCAGGAATTTCACCTTTTGGCCAGCTGTGGAAGTGGCTTGAGTCCAATCTACACAACTGAACAATAGGATCTAATTAGAAGACTGTTCCTAAACCATGTTTCCAGCAGGAAAACTCTTTAAGGAAAAGCATGTCTGAACAAAGTGCAGAATATGTGTATTTCTGTTTGTTCCCTTTAATGTATTAAGTATTTGTCTTCCTTAAATTTCTGCAGCTATAGTGTGACTGAGCCATCACAAGATAAGCTCTTTCCCAGGATGGTAATACTGATACCAACCCTTTTCTCCTAAATCATCCACTTCTGATTGCCTTCTTTTCTTCATGTAATAGTGTTTCGCCTCTTTCATTACATGAAGCTGAGTTTGTACTGATAGGCCTAAGCCAGTGTAAATGAAAGGATGTGTTTATCTTGCTGGCTTGTGATTTAAGTTAAAGCAAGTAGATCCTATTTTCCATGTCATTATAGACATAGTCATACCCATGGAAGGGCTTCCTGAGAGATGGTGAGTTGTTTGGTCTTGTGTGGCTGAGAACTGGGGAGGTTTATTTGTGATCAATAGAATTTGAGCTTAAAAAAAAACCAAATAACAAATTAATGAGTCTTGTGTAGAATTTCTCGCTCTTTGTTGTGGTTTAACCTAGGCGGTTCAACACCACACAGCTGCTCACTCACCCTCCCTCATCCCCGGGAGATGGGGAAGAGAATCAAAGGGGAAAAGGGACAGAGACTCATGGGTCAAGATAAGAATAATTTAATACTTAAAATAAAACTAATAATGATGAAATAATAGTTATAATCATGATAATATAGGACTGTATATAAAAATTACAATATATACAAACAAATGAGGCACAGTGTAATTGCTCACCACTCGCTGACCAACGCCTGCCCTGTCCTGGCTAGTGATCCTGAAACAGAGAAGTTCTGAAACTACAATCTGGACAAGTGAGATCCCTGAAGAGATCTGAGAGAATGAACTTCCCGGCCAAACCCCATCTATATACTGGGCATGATGTTGCGTGATATGGAATATTCCATTGGCCAGTTTGGGCCTCAAACCTAAACCTAATTTCAAATCCTAAACTAGGAGTTGTGGGTCCTTTGTTCCAGCTATGTTCCCTCTGAGCTTCTTGTGCGCCTGCACACTGGCAAAACATGGGGAGCTGAACAGTCCTTGCTGTCTTAGTACCAACTATAAACATCAGTATGTTATCAACGTTTTTCTCATACCAAATCCCAAGCCTGAAGCCTGTGGAATTTGTCTAGGAGCTAAAATCTTATGACAGTCACTAGTTCAAAAGCAGGTTTTATCATAGAATGATTTGCGTTGGAAGGGACCTTAAAGATCACCTAGTTCCAATCCCCGTGCCATGGGCGACAACACCTTCCACTAGATCACATTGCTCAAAGCCTCATCCAGTCTGGCCTTGAACACTTCCAGGGATGGGCACCTGTTTGAGTGCCTCACCACCCTCACAGTGAAGAATATCTTCCTAACATCTAATTTAAATCTCCCCTCTTTCAGTTTAAAGCCATTGCCCCTTGTCCTATCACTACACGTCCTTGTAAAAAGTCCCTCTCCAGCTTTCCTGTAGGCCCCCTTTAGGTACTGGAAGGCAGCTAGAAGGTATTCTGGAGCCTTCTCTTCTTCAGGCTGAATAACCCCAACTCTGTCAGCCTGTCTTCATTGGAGAGGTGCTCCAGCCCTCGGATCATCTTCGTGGCCCTCCTCTGACCCACTCCAACAGATCCATGTCCTTATGCTGGGGGCCCCAGAGCTGAACACAGTACTCCAGGTGGGGTCTCGTAAGAGCAAAATAGGGAAAATCACTTCTTCCCTTGACCTGCTGGCTGTGCTTCTTTTCACACAGCCCAGGGTATGAGCCAGGCTTTTATGTTGCCATTTCCTTCAGTGATAAACCAAAGAACTGTAATTCCCTGTCATACATGTGGTAGTTCTTGTATTTCCATAGTGACTGCTGCTGTAGAAATAAATGAGAGTGTGCCAAACTGTGTTTGTACAGTTGTTTTAACACTGGTGTATTTTACTAGAGAAGGACAAACACAGTGGGGTGTGTTGAGGCTGTGCATAATAATTAGTGTTGTACAAGTGTTAAGAAAGAACATGTAGTAAGTGTGGCATTTAAGTGGTAAACCAAGGTGGACTATTGATTTCTCTGCTGTAACTCCGCTTCCTTAGGTGGGGTTGTGCCTGGTATGCTGTGCTAGGTCTGTAGAGCAGTCAAGGCTGGAGCAAGGAGACTGGCAAGACCATGTTGCTCTGAAACAGGTCCTACCTGATTGCTCGGATGTTTATTTCAACATAGTTCAACTTAAAAACCAGGCCATGTTTAAGGAAATAATTTTAATCATGAAAATGGGCAGAGTCTATCCACCCATAGTCCCTTGGTATTAGGTTGCTATCATGTGGTAACAAAAATGTTTTAAAAACAGGGGTGCTGCAGTAAGTGTTACAGTGCAGGTGCAATTGGAGCTAACCTTAATCTTTTAACTGGCTGTCACTAGGGCTTCTTGAGTAAGCCCTTCAGTAGCTAAGCAGGGTGCTGAGCCAGCTGTGCCAGAAGTGATAGTCAGCAAGTCGAAGGGATATGCCTGCAGAAACAGCAGTCACACCCTTTTCTACAGTGTTAATCCGTGCCCTGACACATGCATGCCGCTTCATTCAGGGCTTCCCCTGAGGATCACTGAAAGCCTCTCCTGCTTCCTCTCTCCCTTTGGGGCACACAAGGAAGCTGACAGCTGAAAGTGCACCGAGAAGCTTAATGTCTAACTGTGTCCCTAGAGCTGGGAGAAAGGGTTTTCCTTTGCTTTTGTGTCGCCTCTCATCTGAGCTACAGCAAAACAATGCACCTGGACATTGCCCTTGGGATACTGCAATTAAAACCAAATAGTCGTCATGTCTTCTCAGAGCCCCAGAGCATATAAAGGCTGTCCTCTGTTCTCTATATCTTTATATTAGACTAGAGGCAGGTTAAGATGTCTATCCTTGACTTCACTGTCCGCAACCTACCTCCACTGTGTCTAGATCCTTTATTTAAAGCAAAAATGAATATGTGTCAACTTGTTTCCATGGGTACAGCTGACCTCTCTAGAATCAGGGCAAAGCTTGGCTGGGTAGGAGATGCCTTCTGAAGGCTTGATCGAAACTCGAGCTATGCTTTCCCAAAAACTAAAACTTTTCTTTTCCTTCCCCTCAAACACCTCCAGGTGTACTTTCTCAAGAAATGCAGAGTACTCTGGAACAAAACAAAATCATCCCCTTGTCACCCCACCAAAAGAGAGTGGTAATACATACGTTCTTCCCTCACTGAGGAATGATCAAAGTACCAGCTCTCTGTGTTAGAGATTAGCTGAGTTGTTTAATGTACTAAGTACTCAGATACAACAACAGCTATATGAGGAGTCCTATAAAATAGGGTTAGTTTTCAAAATACTGTATATGTAAGCAAGTCTGGGTTTAACTCTTGTTTAAGTGCAAAGAATGTCATTTACAAAAAACTGGTCAACATCCATTCTTTATAAACATTGTCCTTTTCCAACACCTTTTCTTGTTGGTTTTCTTTATCTTTTTTTTTTTCCCCTTCCTGTTCCTGCTTCTCTACCCTTTCTTTTCTGAGTGTCTTTTGTCTGGCCCTGAAGAGAAGCACGGTAGGAGCAGAGGCACTTTATCAGTTCCTCCAGAGAGCAGTCCAGTCTTGCCTGTAGTTTAGCTATCTCTGTGGTAGGGCTGTTCTTGTTGCTTGTGTCTGCCAGCTTTATCTCTCATGCCCTGGGCCATGATTTGGTGGATTTCTCTCGTCTCCTTTTTTTCTGCACCCCTCTCCTGCAACCATGTCCTTCCCAAGATATCTATCACCCAGAACTGGAAATGAGCTGCCTGTACAAGACAGGTTCTGTTGCATCCCTTCTTAAATTTCACAGAGTAAATTTATCAACTCTGCAGAGCAGTCTGCTTTCATGTACTCAAGTGCTGTTTTGAAAGCTACTGGCAATGTAGGAAATTAGGTACCTTTTCCTGGCTTATCAAAGCCCATTTCATAGAATCATAAAATGGTTTGGGTTGGAAGGGAACTCAAAGATCATCTGGTTCCAATCGCCCCTGCCATGGGCAGGGACACCTTCTACTAGATCAGGTTGCTCAAAGCCTCATCCAACCTGGCGTTGAACACTTCCAAGGATGAGGCATCCACAGCTCCTCTGGGCAACTTGTTCCAGTGTCTCACCACTCTCAGGGTGAAGAATTTCTTCCTTAATATCCAATTTAAATCTGCCCTCTTTCAGTTTAAAACCATTACCCCTTGTCCTATCACTACATGCCCTTGTAAAAAGTCCCTTTCCAGCTCTCTTGTAGGCCTTCTTTAGGTACTGGAAGGCAGCTAGAAATTCTCCCTGGAGCCTTCTCCAGGCTGAACAACGCCAGCTCTCTCAGCCTGTCTTCTTAGGAGATGTGCTCCAGCCCTTGGATCATCTTCATGGCCTCCTTCATGGCCTCGTGGCTCTATTTGCTATAGCATCTAGAAAAAGAACCACTTAGTTATTGGGACAGTAAATACATTGTGTAACACAGCTTCACCTAACAGATTACTGGATGGTGGCCTGCAGGAGACCATCAGGAGCTGACAGAAAAGTGTTAGAAAACTTGAGAACAAATCTGCTTGGGCGCAGGGTGGGGAAAGATCCTTCTTTTCCCTGTAGAAACGTCAAGGCCAGGTACCAACTCAGAGACCGTGGCTGCCTTCAAGGATAACACTTACAGTGGTGTGATCCGCAACTTAGCGGAGTTGTGTTCCGCACTGCATTGGTTTTACGTTTGTTTCTCCTGCGACAAGCAGCAATTGCCGGCTGACTGGCCGGAGGTGGTTTGCTCCCAACCTGTATGGCAGTTAACACCCAGCCCTCCCTGCCCCGTCGCATACCAACCCAGCTCCTGCAGACAGTTCCTGCTGGACGGTGGCTGTGTTCCTGTTTACCTCAACACCCAGAGCAGGATTTGCCACTTAAAATGAACCCATGTGAAAATGTAACAAGATATTAGTGCAGGAAATAGCTGTGGAGAGATATTCCATCTCCTCTTCCTGATTTCACCTACCTTTTACCTTAGCCTGTACTAGTCTGAAAGCAAGATGATGTTTATCTGTGGCACCCGGTTCATCCAGTAATGCCACTTGCATGTTCCTCACTTTAGAAAAAAAATAATTCTTTGCAGTATTTCCACTTTGGTGGTGCAAGACTCATTCTAAAAGATACTGAGACGCTGTAGCTCTGAACCGGAGCCTGCAGTGATTTACCAGGCTGTGTTCTTTGAGATAAAGTAAAGATAAATTATCTCCAGAGCACATCTAGTTGCAAGTCTTGATTTGTTCCCATCCCAGCCAGAGCTTGGGAACCCTACAGAACTCTTGAGGCACAGGTCACACTGCTATAGAAAGTGCTGCTAGAAAGTACCGTCCAGTGAACACCGTACTAGTGGTTTCTGGGGTAGAATAGGACTGTTCTTAACCTACTGGAGCTAGAACTTGCCAATATTTTGCCGGAAATCTGAAGGGGTAGACTGAAGGGAGATGTCCTGCCAGCCTTCACAAGCCTATACAAAGTTAAGTGAACAAAAACACTTAGCTTTTTCGCTGCCACTTCCTTTTCTTGATCCAAATGTCTTTCCGTCTCTTTTTCTAAGGATTTATATGTACCTGTTTGGTTTCCCCAATGCCTATGCTCATGGCATTAAAATAGAGCAACGTAACAGCGAATATAAGAGAAGTGTCTATGGGGCCTCTCTTGATCCTGTATTAAAGCTGATTTCCCATAAAAGGGGATCAACAAGAAAAAATCCTGCTCTGTAGCACCCTGGAAAACATGGAAGGTGTCCCTTTCCCCTGAACCACCACTGGCAAGTGGCGACACCCAGTGCTGACACATAGGTGCAGGGCCCAGGGTCCCTCGGGCTTCAGCACAGACCTGACCCTGCAGCGCAGTTGAGCTAAGGCAGTGGTGCATTTCCAAGCCCATGTGATCTTAAACAGGCAGCCTGTGCGGTTTTAGTTTTTGATAAGGCTGTGCCTTATCCATTCAGGATTTAAGTAGTGCAGCTGACAGTCGGTTCCCCATTACAGAAGCAGCTCTGGTTGATGTGGGTTTAAAATCCTTGAAAGCCCTCCAGTGACTTCTTTCACCTATTAAATTACTTTAAATATATTTAGGAGAGACCATAAACCAAAACAGTGTTGACCAGAATGCTCTTTGTATGCCTTGTATGTCTGTGTAATCCAGTAAGAAAAACCTGTAAGTGCAAGGTACTGCATTTTGTTCTGGTTTGTGTTTTGGTTTTTTTTTTTTCCTTCTTCCATAGCAGACTTAAAATCTATGCTTCTTTCTACAGACTGTTGGGAGAGAAATCCTGCTCCATTTGATAGACTTCCTGGTGACTAGCTATAGACGTGACCCAGTTATTACCCGGTTACTCAATAATACCCGGATTCATATCATGCCGACAATGAATCCTGATGGATTTGAAGCTACAGAAGAGCCTGACTGTTATTATACACGAGGAAGGTAAGGGTGGCTTAGGGGAGTGGGAGTAGGTAAAGGAAATGGGTGGAGAGTAATAATCGGAGGTAGCCAAGAGACTGAATCATACTTGGTGGAGAGGATAGTCTAGAGGATGTGTTAGGGCTAATTTTGGCCTGTGCTGTTCTGAAGACGCACTGTTACGGCATGGACTTTATGGGAGACTGAGTCAGACTGGTGTTTATATGTGGTGCGGCTAGAGAAAATTGGTCAAAATGGTGTAATGACCTAACCTTTTAGCCAGGAGACACAGACTGCAAATAGAAGCACAAAAACCTATTTAGACCTTTAGGGTGCTACAAAAAAAGAATGAAAACTCCACCCACAGGGACTGTAATAGGTGCTCTGCTAACAGTAGTGCTAGGGAAAACACTCACACAGAAGCTAATGTAGCCTAGCATCGCACCCTGTGCTACTTCTGTGTTCTGTAATGTAACTATTGCAGACACCAAAAAGGGGAGGAAAAGTATAACAAGCTAGAAGAGGGAAGAAGAAGAGAGTGAGAGAATGGGAAGAAATGCCAAGGGACAAAGTTGAAACGTGCAGAAAAAGCAAACTCATCATCTAGAAGTTCTCTTGGATCACTGGCCATGGCAATGTCGGAAGCAAGTGAAAAGGTAGTTCAGGTAGTTTAGTTCTCTAGGTGACCAGAGTAGGCCCTCCTTTGTATCAGGAAGGAAATTCATTTCTCAGCAAATAGACAGGACTTTTATGGAGGGTGGTATTTTTTTATCCTCGTACTGTAAACTAGACAGAGTTTAACTGAGTTTAAAAATCAATACAGCTGATGCTAAATACCCTCTCTACTCTCTGTCCTGACCTGTTTGAGTGAAAAAGGAAGAAGGTATTTGCACAGGCTGCACCTTCAGGTACAGGGAGAAGAGAATACATCCTGTGTTAGAGTCAATTTTTTGCTCTACGTCCAAAGTGACAGCAGTGGAAGGAACACAGACATCCAGTAGTGACCTTAGTCTTCTATACAGGTGTGAGAGAGCAGGGAGGTGTCTGAGAGCAGGGAGGGAGAGCAAATCGAAACTCCTGTGATCCAAGAGGAACGGGTCAAGGATCTGCTTCATCGGCTGGATGCCCACAAGTCTATGGGGCCTGATGGTATCCACCCGAGAGTCCTGAGAGAGCTGGCGGATGTCATTGCCAAACCCCTGTCCATTATCTTTGGGCAGTCTTGGCTCACTGGGGAAGTTCCGCTGGACTGGAGGCTGGCGGATGTTACCCCCATTTACAAAAAAGGACGAAAGGAGGATCCGGGGAACTACAGGCCTGTCAGTCTGACCTCGGTGACGGGCAAAGTCATGGAACAGGTTATCTTGAGTGCTATTAATGAGCACATACAGGTTAACTGGGTGATCAGGCCCAGTCAACATGGGTTTATGAAAGGCAGGTCTTGCCAATCAAACCTGATCACCTTCTATGATGGGGTGACCCGCCTGATGAGGAGGGAAGGGCTGTGGATGTAGTTTTCTTTGACCTCAGTAAAGCGTTTGATACAGTTTCTCATAGTGTTCTGGTTGAGAAACTGATAACTGCTGGCCTGGATAGGCACACCCTCCTTTGGGTTAAAAACTGGCTGGATGGCCGGGCCCAAAGAGTGGTGGTAAATGGGGCTAAATCCGGCTGGAGGCCGGTCACCAGTGGGGTTCCCCAGGGCTCAGTGCTGGGTCCAGTTCTGTTTAACATCTTTATCAACGACCTGGATGAGGGGATTGAATGTACCCTCACTAAGTTTGCGGACGACACCAAGCTGGGAGGCTGTGTCGATCTGCTCGAGGGTAGGGAGGCCCTTCAGAGGGATTTGAACAGACTGGATCGTTGGGCTGAGGCCAATGGCATGAGCTTTAATAAGGCCAAGTGCAGAGTCCTTCACTTGGGGTATAAAAACCCCAAGCATCGCTATAGGCTCGGGGAGGAGTGGCTGGAGAGCTGCCTGGCGGAGAAGGACCTGGGGGTGTTGGTTGACTACCGGCTTGATATGAGTCGGCTTGATATGAGCCAGCAGTGCGCCCAGGTGGCCAAAAAGGCCAATGGGATACTGGCATGTATCAAGAATAGTGTAACTAGCAGGAATAGAGAAGTGATCCTGCCCCTGTACTCGGCACTGGTGAGGCCGCACCTGGAATATTGTGTCCAGTTTTGGGCCCCTCGCTTTAGGAGAGACATTGAGCTCCTGGAGCAAGTCCAAAGAAGGGTGACTAAACTGGTCAAGGGGCTGGAAAATAAAACTTACGAGGAGCGGCTAAGGGAGTTAGAGCTGTTTAGCCTGGAGAAGAGGAGGCTGAGGGGAGACCTGATTACAGCCTACAAATACTTGAGAACAGATGGTGAGGAGTTAGGGGAAGGGCTCTTTACATTAGTGATGGGTGATAGAACAAGAGGAAATGGGTATAAGCTTAGTCAGGGGAGATTCAGGTTGGATGTTAGGAAGTATTTCTTCTCTGAAAGGGTTGTCAGCCACTGGAATAGGCTGCCCAGGGAGGTGGTTGAGTCCCCATCCCTGGATGTGTTTAAGAATAGGGTGGATGAACTACTTAGGGATATGGTTTAATGGGGATTAGGGACGGTTGGACTGGATGATCTCTAAGGTCTTTTCCAACCTAGAAATCTATGAATGAATCTATGAATGAATGAATGACAAACACATACAGAAGGACAACATCCTCCTCCTCTGGCTTAGGTTTTTCTAATTCACGTAAGTGTAGGTGTAGGTGCCTGCTATATGCATGTTAAATATTACTCACTGTTTCCACCTGAAATACAATAGAAGAATTGTTTTATTGTGTCCTATGAAACATGCAGTGCTGCCAGAAAGCAAACTAAGGTCTATCTTCTTAATGTTTGAGAAGATTTGCAATGGTCATCTTACCCATTTCCCAAAGACACTAGCGTGCCACAGATCTTAAGTACTGGGAGGAAGTGTCTATAGGCAAAACAGTAATGGGAATGTCTTCTCTCTTTCTAAGGTACAATAAGAATGGAGAAGATCTGAACAGGAATTTTCCTGACGCCTTTGAAAATAACCACGCCAGCATTCAGCCAGAGACTCAAGCAGTAATGAACTGGATAAAAAACGAAACGTTTGTTCTTTCAGCAAACTTGCACGGAGGTGCCCTGGTTGCCAGTTACACCTTTGATAACGGTAACTCAGGTAAGATAGTCACAAACTTTCTTCTCTACAGCCAATTCGGTTTAAGAACATTAGCTGTACCAAAGCAAAATTTCTAAGCATTTCTGCAAGGTTTTTCCAGCTTTTGAGCTGGGAAGGGCAGACTTTGATAAACCCCATCAAAACTGCCTGCCCGATGTGGCTATTTGGGAGATGTTTATGCTGTGTGTAAGCCAGCACTGCATGTTTTACCCATGATGAGAGTTACACGATGGCTATCTTGATCCTGCAGTTACCGGCTCTTTGAAAGGCTATAGCAGGTCTCCAGATGATGATGTCTTTATTCACCTGGCAAAAACCTATTCTTCCAACCACGCCAGCATGTACAAAGGGACTGGGTGTGACAACAGACAAACCTTTCCAGAAGGCATTACCAACGGGTATTCTTGGTACCAGCTGGAAGGTAAGAATGTCAGTGATACTTTTTTCGGCTGCTTCAGATATGATGTTTTTTCACTTTCTCCTGCCATCTTTGATGATGAAAGGGCTGTGATTTTGCCCAGAATTAGAGGGTTGATGAGGGGAGTAAGCCAACGCATTTGTGTGGATTCTCCAAGCAGGACATGGGTGTTTGCAGACTCTCCCAGTCAGCAGTTACACAACTGAATGAGGCAGTCTGCCGTCTGGCTGCTTCTGTGCCCTTTCTTCAGGCCTGCATAGCTCTATAGATCACACACACTGATGTTGGCACCAAGATCTTGTCCTTTCAGAAAGAAAACCAATCTTCTGTTCATTATCATCCTTTTTTAAAATGTTTGATTATTGAAATAAATGTTTTCTTTACTGTTTATGCGTAGCCAAACAGACTATGGGTCCTGTGTACTGTGGTACTGCGTGTTGCTTTCACAGTCTGAGTTCAAAGTCTTTTAAAGACTCCTAGGATGGCTTTGGCAGTGGCAAACTCTACGCCAGCCTGTGAATTTACCTGCCCCTATTTACTTGGCAGTGCTTGTATGAATTTAAGTCAAAGACCCACCCTTCCTCAGCCATAATAATCATATTTCCTGAAACACCACTGTGCTTTAGAAAACAACATTCTACAAGTAACTGGAGTAATTAAGTTGGTTTTCCACAGGAGGCAGCAAATACAAGTGTATTACTTTTCTTACAGGTGTGATGCAAGTACCAACATTTTAACTCTCCTGTTTTTCTTCTAGCTTGAACTTGGTGCTTCTTTGCAGCTGAACACTGTTTGCTTTATTTCCCTTTTAAGGTGGAATGCAAGATTACAACTATGTCTGGGGACAATGTTTTGAAATTACATTGGAGCTGTCATGCTGTAAATATCCTCCAGCAGACCAGCTGGAAGACTTCTGGAGAGACAACAAAGTTGCTCTAATCGAATACATAAAACAAGTACATCTAGGTGGGTATGTGAAGGGGGCAGGGAGCTAAAGCCGAGGCCAGGCCGGTGGGCAAAGTGGGAACTCTTCAGGTCAGTGTCAGAGCTCAGAAGTGAGGAGCTCTGGTGTGAACTCGAGAGCCATCGCTTCTGAACAGCAAGTGCTACAAGGCCAGGGGTGGGTAAGGGAGGAGGAGAACTTACAGGTGTGTCAGGTGTGGGGTGATGGGCACTACTACAGTGGTGCAAGGGGCTTAAAATGTGCTGGGGCAGGAGCAAGGGACAGGCCCCTGGCCTGTCTTACCATATACCCTGCTCAGGGAGTCTGCTTTTCTGAGCAGCTTTGAGGCAGTCATTTATTTCAGAGGCCTCTAAGTAAGTGTGCGTGTGTTGCTTATCTCGCATTTTATTGCCCAGAATGTCTGACTGCTGGTTTATCTTTGCTCAGTGCCAGTGCTGCCTTGAAGGTGGTGTGTAAGGATTTAGGGAAACTACTTCATAAGCAGAGGTTGCTGGTATTCTGCCATTGGGAAGTACTAGATAAGAGGGTGACTTATTTTAAATTTAAAAAAAAATTTTGAAAAGGCAAAAAACCCCAAACCAGTACTGAAGATTGAAGCCCTTCAGTAAAAACCACATAAAATAAGGATATATGATGCTTTCAGCAAATGAGATTTAGTAGCAGAGATTACAACGTCGCTTTCTAACTTAATTTGAGGGTAAACTATTACCAACAACAAAGGATTTTCCATTTTAATTCCCTTCAGTAAGACAGAATTGACTGCTGGTATTACTAGATGTGTTAGACATCACTGAAATAGCCTTTGAGTGCATCCAGCAGCAAAGAGTCCGACTTTCTCAGAGACAGAGGCTCATTACAGCTACAGGCTTTGATCTTCCTCTCCTCTCCCTTTTTCATAGGTGTCAAGGGTCAAGTCACTGATAAGAACGGGAATCCTATTCCCAATGCCATCGTGGAAGCCAAAGGAAGGCGTCACGTCTGCCCCTACAGAACAAATGAACAAGGGGAGTACTTTCTTCTCCTTTTGCCTGGGACGTATGTGATCAACGTAAGTGTCTGGCCTTACTAAATGGTTGTTTCTAACTGCACCGAGTTCCTGGCCACCGTGACGGCATCCTTAGGGATGGAGGAACTGAACTTGCCCAAGTCGTATACAGGAGCTGTAAAGACTCTTTAGCAGATTTAAAAGAAAATAGTATCTTAAAACATGAGGTGGCAGAAAGGAAAATTTTTGATACAGTAAGAAATATCTCAAGTCCTCAGAATGTCTAGAGATAAGCACTCATCTGACCCGGATGGTGGAGCCAGCTGGGACGAGTGTCTGGACCATGGCGACACTAGCTTGAGGTGTCTGAAACAAACCAGAGCTCTTGAAGGGTGAGGAGGGGGAGGCTGGGATCCACATAGCTGCAGGCAGCGACGGGCTGACAAGGCCATCAGTGACAGTTACTTCCTTGGGTTGAAATGGCTACTCTGCAGAGGCTGGCAGTAGCTGGTACTAGAGAACATCTATGGAGCGTAGGCTCTGCCTGCCGTCAGCCAAGGGCTTGCGCTTAAGGGTAATCGCAGGATTCCCTCTCTCGTACAGCACACACTGTACCCCGTTACAAATAAACACTCTTCATCTCAGGGCTTTTAGGGCTTTAGTCTTACTGCAGTAACATGACTCCTCTCATTCCCTATTCTCAAACTTACATTGAGAACGCTCTTCCTACATGTTGAAAGTGTAAATAAGCACATCAGACGACAATCGCTTTATAGGTGAACTCAACATTTCAAACAAGTAAGAAATCTTTCACGTTTGCTCCTAGGCTACTGTACCGGGATATCGATCGATGCTGGAGACAGTGGAAATACCCAACAATACTGGTAACTTCAGTGCTTTGAGACACGACTTCTCTTTCTCAGAAGTCTCTATCAGATCAAGAGCAGCTTCATGTCCCAAAACTCCCCTCTACCAAGAGCTTGAACAGCCTTCAGCTGCAGTAAAACCAACTCTACACCTCTTGGTTCTAATGACCGTTATGGTCCTAACTTTCAAATGAAGTCAAGAGTGACATGACAAGGCAAAATCTTCTTGCACAAATGTGGCTTTTCAGACAAAGAATTGTATATGCGAAAGAATGTATGTTTTTATAAACCAAATTCTCAAATTTATGATCATGTTTATTGTATTTTGTAAAATACTGGCTCGACAATCAAATGTTTTACCTTAATTGTAATTAGACTGTCATATTTTTTTCTACATAAATGTTTTACTCTAAAGAAATACTGTACAGCCTGTGGAGATAAGCATAGACTTTTGATGCAGAAAGTACAAAACCATTCTGAAGAATGTGCCCGAGTTCAAAAAAGTCTTGGATTGCACTGCAAATGTTTCGCGCAAACTCAGGTTGTTCGTTGAACCAACAGCTCGTGCCACACAACTGTAAGCAATTAGTTCAATCCTGATTTTTCCTAATAAAGCCACCACTATAAATGAGGAATGGTGTTTTTACATATGCTCCTTCTTACCTGGACAGATGAGACTGCTCAGGGCAGAAATAAAGTCAAGACCAGTAAGACAGACCGTTGTTAAGACAAGAAGACAGAAACGAAGAGTAAGTAAGTACACACCCAAGGGCCGTGTTGCTGGGAGCCTGATGATAATCTGAGCCATCAGGCAAAAAAGAGTAACTCAGGTTGCTGAAAACTACATTCCTCTAAGACAGAACTATTGAAAATAATACGGAAACAGCCATGCTGCTTTGGAACAAGGCCTGTGTGCACAAGATACCTTTTTTTGAATGCGTTCATCATAGCCTTTTGAACTTTCTACCTTTTCTCCTCCTCTTAACTGCTGTGGATTGTTTACCAGTCAGAGGAGTAAATAATCACCCACTGATCCTGCCATCAATACTTGTTTCCAGTTCTGTCACTTACAGCAGAAACAATTGAAGGCCCCTTGAATTTAAAATCCCCCCAAATCAAGAAATCTGTGAGAATCCAGTGAGGCTGAGCAAGGGCAGAAAAAGCCTGCATGCTGGTTCACAGAAACAAAAATCTGTATGAAAACCAAGCACCAGAACCTCTAACACTCAAGTCACATAAAGACAACTGAGCACCAAGGAGTATGTAACCAAATCTTTATTTAAAGCTTTTAAATGGAACATAGTATTTAGTTTCCTCAAAAAAGGAAAAACTGAAAACCAAAAGACAAATGCAGTACACATGAAAATTCTTCTCATAAATGGATCTATACTCTGTGCAACTCGAGTGGATATTTGTACTTAATGGTTACCGACTGCGGTAGTACATGCACTGGGTACCTACGAGGTACGTACCACAAAAAGTCCTTGAAAGCGTGATCATCTAGGAGCAGTGGCAGAATTGCATAGTTATGTAAATTCACTATAAACCAGTTGTTTAATAGTTATTCCAGCTACGTGTGGTCAGACAACAAAGTCAGACTCTGCTTTTGGAAAAGCTATTTGGTCTTTTCGGTACACCTAATCGTCATGTTGACGGCCATTAATTTAGCTCAGAAACAAGAACTGTCCTTTAAAAGTCTGGCTGTTAAGTTAAAGCTACACCTACTCAAAAGGGGAGACAACACCTTTTTAAGTATCACCAACAAAATTTACATGTAGAATATATAGATATACTACAGAAAGGCATTCACTTCAAGCTTTCAGTGCATCTGTGCTAGATAAAAAAAAAAGCACACATTAGTTAAAAGCAACAATTTTTCATGTTCAGTAAGTGCAACCCATTGTTAAAAGATACCTTAAGCCCCGCTTTCAGGGGGTTTGTTTTTCACTTTACATCGCTTGTGCAACCTTTAACGACAAGTAACTCAAGGTAAGACTGACTCAGGTAGGGATGAGCTAGAAAAGTTCTATCAGTCAGGCAGGCCACCAGTTCCATTTATTCAGTCTCATTATGCTTCTCATAGTTTTCTAATCTCTCTTTTGTAAGAACATAATCTTCTGATGCAATTATTCTTGTTGATGCTTTCTGTAAGAACGAGGAATCGTTTTTCCCCTCGTATTAGTCTTTAAGGGGAAAAAAACCTGCCTGAAGTCTTGCAGCACATGGCTCCACACCCACACAGACAGACCTTTCAGAGACAGCAGCATTTACACAAATTTACAGCAAACAGAACTAAAACATAGCGTTTTTTCATCAGTTAAAGCTCTGGAGCACTTTTACCCTTTCTAAATCGAGCTGCTAACTGAAGTGGCAGCCACAGCCCCTGAGCAGAGCAGCGCAGCACGCAGTTCTTCCAGGGGGCTCGTTAGTAACACTACGACAACACTCAAGGGGTGCTGCCCAAAAAAACCCATAATCTTTGCAGCGTGAATGTTCCGTATCATCAGCCATCAACCTACTTCTCTTTCAGCTGTGCAAGTTTTTTAAAGGACAAAAGCAGTAGGCTTCATAATTAATCTTAAAGAAAGACTCAGTATTAAAGGTTCTCAAATATTATAATGTTCAACACTTCTAGCCTTTTGAGAAATGTCAGACTCTGAAATGAAGCAATTTTGTCATCTGCAAGTACTGCGTTTTGCACTTCACTTCCTTGGGTCAAGAGCTGAATTTCAATACTAATACTTAATTACATAGTGAAAGAGTTGCATTTAATCAAAAAATGGGTTTATTTTACTTCATAAAAAAGAATAAATGTGAGTAGCGTTTGTACATAATTATTGCATACCTGAAGTGCATGAAGGAATAGACTAAGACGGTTATTGAAAATTGTGTACTGTCACGTTCTGTCAGCACTTGGCCATCCCTCCAACTTTCTCGGTCACGTGTTCAAAGGCAAAAGCAACTACCACCCGTCGCAAATTAACCTTGAAATCTCACGTCACCTCACCGCATCTTCCAGACTGTCACCTCCGACATCACCAGCACAAGGAAGCAGTCAGCTTCTTGGCTGTACTAGGAGATGCAGAAGCATTCCAAAGGAAAACAAACACCACCAAAATATTGTCGCTATGCTAATGGTGTACCAGCCTCCATCTCTATTTAAGAAACGTTGTTCAGGTTCAACACAGAAGTTGTTTTAAGGGAAGGAAAAAAGAAAACAAAGCCACAAATCTTCCCATGCCCCTCTTAATCTGAATATAATCTGAGTATTTCTATTTTAATGCTACAATTTCTTAAATACTTTTCTTGTGACTGTGATTTACTAAGTATGCACATCGATGCATCTACACACGTACCAATAGACTAATTCAATAAATTAAAGCTCAAAACACTAACTGTAAGCACAAGAATATTTACAAACTGCAATAAATTAAACTGTGTGCGGTATTAAACAAGGATCTCCAAGACCTCACCAACTAAGGACAACTGTCAAGTTCTGTGCTAAAACTTTGCTCACTTTTGTGCCACTCCCCAAGGCCAGAACGACCAGGGTGGTGTGAACACCAGGCTGGTCACCGCTCGCCCCACGCACAGCGAGCGTGGGTCGGGGTGACAGCACAGAGGCAGCCCCAAAGATTTCAGCCCTTCGGACCGACGGTCCGGCCTGGTCTGGGGTGGGCGCCCCAGCACCTTGCAGGCACCCCCCATGCCCCTGGCGCGCACTCGCCTGCCGGCAGCTCCTACAGCAACTGGAACAGACACCAATACTCATCACTCCCTTATTTGTAAGGCACCCTTGGGGGAAAAAAAAACCAAAACAAACAGCAATCAAACAAACCAAACCCTGAAGTTTTACTGGAAGTTATGAAGAATAATATTAAAGCAAGAAAATATAACTCAAAATAAAGATTCACTCTGACACAGCAGTTTGGCCATAGATACAAAAATCAAAATTACTCATTTCCTCAGCAGTGTATGGAGTGGAGGGTATTTCCAGGGCTATTCTCTGCAACAGAAGACATGCAAGGAAAGGACAATTTTAGATCATAAAAGGGGAAGTCCATCACACTGTATGCTCTCAGTTTATCTTTTGCCAAAGAGAAAGTGTTACTGGAAGATTTAATTGTTTTTGAAGAACAATCCCAAAGCTGAGTGATTGTGAACAGCAACAATCATCACTCTGCCCACACATCTCTTTTTGAGAGCTTAATAAGGTTTGGTTTTGTTTTGCGTTTGTTTTTTTTAAAGACAGAGATCACTTAAGGGGATTGATTAGAAGATAACACCAAGAGCAGGATGGTACAATTTGTCCCAGCAGGAACTAGGTAAGAACAGCTGCTCCCCCAGACCTGCAGTGACACAGCCATCACAGTGACCGTACAGAAGGTACCACACTGAAAACACATTAAGGGACAGGAGACAACGTCATGGATGAAGCTTTTCAAGTACAGTCCCCACATTGTCAGTGCTTCTCCTGAATACACACACGTACACTCCTCTCTCAGCTGCAGGTTCCAGACAGCGACTGTTTGGTTCTGACCTGCAGGTGCAACGGAAGAGCCTCTGCAAGCTTCACTGCACTTATCAAATCAATAATTAAGAAAAATAAATAGCAAGCAGTGTGAATTAAGGCAGGTGGCCATCTACTAGAAGCATCCCTACTTGAAAAATTTAAGTATCTACCCAAAGGACTTGTCCCTCTTGGGCTGAAGGATTATCAAATCCCATGAAAGGTTTCTGCTGACCAAAGAACTTTAAGAACTTCCAGCTACCTGCTGTCACTTTACAAACCACAAGGGGCAAGAAATTTGCAAGCAAGAATTCGAAGAAACACATACAACTGGGGTTGACATTTTGTTTAGTTCAAATGAATTACAGTAACACTTCAGAGCATCTTTTAGTAGTATTCTTCAAAAATTAGCTCAAACATACAACCAAAACCTGACTGATCCCAGTAATTCAGTCTTTACCTATGAAGGTATTTCTCTGCAGGCAAATAACAACCTAGGGTTTACCGAGTCTCTCCTGTACAGCTCCGTGTCCCTTTCCTAGGTTAATTCCTTGTGTTCCAGGTGTTGGCAGCCCTCTTCTACAAACACTTTACACCAGAGTAACTACTTCAGCTCTGACGCGAAGGTAACTATAGCAGTGAAACTCTTTGGGCCAGCACACGGTCATCAACAGTTTTGTACTGGTGGTGTTAAGGAAGC